GAAAATCTCAATAAAGCACCCATAGAATGGCTACTTTTAAGCAATTTTATTTCCTGGTAAGCCCTCCAAGACAAATTAATTGCAAAGTGTATCCCTAGGTAAGTAAATGAGGTGACTTCCACTTAAGGAAGTTTAGCCAGAAGCCAATTAGTTGTTGAAAGACATCTGCCAAAAAACATAGTTTGGGCTTTGATGTCATTTATGTTAGGTAATGCTGACAATAGTTAAATAGCAGGACCAGATTTTATGTGAAGGGTCTTCCTAGTCAGACTAATAAAGCCATACATTCTTTTGTCACTCTCTAGAAGAGAAGTACAAAATACATTGTATATTTTCTGAAACAACCAATTTATAATATTAATGTTCGTAGGGTCAATCAAAATGAAGCTCTTATTTTGGACCTGCATTGTGTGTGTCGCTTCTGCAAGGGTGAGCAAATGGACTTTTTAAATTACAGCAATAATATACCCATCAAGTAATTATAGACAGGGATTCGTGTTAATGGTATAAATTATTATAGTGTTGATAATGATGCAGCAGAGAGATATGTTAATGGACATGTGGTTTGCTGTGCCAAACTTTTCAAAAGAAATTTTTAAAAATCTGAATTTAAAAAGTTGTGTAATCTGAAAATGAATAAACAGCAAGGAGAAGAAGTGAATTCAGAAATGCAGTGGGCTGGAGAAAGATAAAATTAAAGGGAACCAGAATTCCATGAAGATGATCTTCACTGGTTATGTCTTCAAATTATAGAAAACTGGATTAGGCTTCCTCTGGCAGTGAAGTCCCACTGCTGGAGGTATTTATGTAGAGTCACAAGGAATACTTGATGGAGTTAAAGTAAATGGACATAATAACTACCAGTGTATTATAAATAGATGAGCCTCTAATGTAAGAAATAGCTGATGGAAAATTCTTAATCCTAGCCAACAAGTGAGCTAAATATCCTCTTTTGGAAAAAGAGAAAATTATGACATCTACTCCATAGGATGGCTTTGAAGATTAAATATGATAATTATGTAAAGTACTTAACAGAGCACCTATGATATAGTAGGAGCTCAAATGCTACTTGATATTATTAACTATTATTATCAGATTATTGACTGATACTACTAATTATCACCCTGTGAAAATTTCAAGATATTTTCCAATCTCCTAAAATAACCTGAATTAAACTCTAATTGTTAAAATAGTAAATGATGAGTTTCCTACACTATCTTGTCATTCTTATCTCATACTCTGTTGTATAATCTGTGAGAAATTCATAAAAGATATTGAAGCTTAACTGGAAAACAACTGGACATATGTTCCTTCTGCAACTGTTAAGAGGTGGCTATGAACCACATACATACAGACAAACACAAACACAAATGCAAACAAAACCTGAAAGGTGAAAGAGAACAGCAAAACAAGATATATGAAAAAGACTGAATGATTTTTCAAATGGTAAGATTTATGTACATGTAGAAAATTACAAACCGAAATCTATCAGCCAATATAAAATTTCCTGAGACAATGGTCTATGTTAAAAAAATATAATGATGATAACAATGATAAACAACTAATTTATACTAGCGATTTATATTTCAAGAAGAAATTAACTATATTAATAATACAGTTGTACAAATTCTTCAGTAATAAAATCTGGGTACAGATGTTTTCAAATGAATAATCATAGTCAATTAATATTTTTCCTTTTGTTTTAGAAGTGTTTCTACTTCATTGATGAGGTAAAACTTTTTTTTCATCTGTGTATAAATGTATTTGTTTTTACCTTAAAGTATATTTTACATTTTAAAACTCTCTGATTTTTTACAAGGCAATTTTGTGACAACTATTGCTGTTAAAATATTAATGCTATTAAACTCTTCTTATTTGATAGAAAAATATTTGTGGAGTATAAATATATTTGTCTTAAACATATTTACTGTAAGGTCTTTATTTCTTTTAAATGAGCAGAAGCATTAAGTAAGTGTACTCCCTTTAGAGTGTGATAAAATTTTTGCTATACCCAGGTTTCCTCCTCATGCCTCTATGAAATTTTATGACAATACTGTACTAAGTTTACTTCAGCAAACTAAGAGATTAATCTGGGAAGGCTTTGCCTGTATTAAAGATTAGAGCAGAAGAAAGCATGACCTAGGAATTACCAGCAGGAGGAGTATGTCCCAAAATGCTAAATGACTTCTGTGCAGCAAATACTCATAAATTATCATGACGCAGGACACTAAAACATTCATCACTTGACATATATTAGAATTTTTTTAGTTCTTTGTCATTTTTGCCTCAATTCTGATGACAGGAGCATGCTAAGAAAATGATACTGGTATCTATCCACAAGCATGCAGTAGATAAACATGACAATCTAGCAAGGAAAGGCCAAGAGATATGATCTGGATGTGTGCAGTTTGAACCAAATACCATTAGATATATGGAGAAGAAGTAGAAAGGTTTTGAAAATAATTTTTTAAATGAAAACAATGAGATACTACTTTGAATTTCTTATAAGAGTTAAGATTTTAATCATAAGAATCTAGGGCTCTCTGGTCACAGTATGAATCGTTGACATTTGTCTCTGTGAACACTCTGGAACATCTATCACTTGTGTATTATGCATCATACCTTCAGGTGACAATATGATCCAGGAGCAAATATTTTATCTCAGTAATTCAGGAAACCAACCTAAAATTGGAAAGAATATGATACACAATATTAAATTTTAATGAAGAAGCTTGATAGCTGGGAAACAGTAACCCAAACACAAGCAAAGAAACCTTGTCTGTTCTTTCCAATACCTAAGATCTAGCATGTGGACAGCACAGAGGAGGCACTCTTTTTCTTTTTTTAATTCTTGAAAATCTATCAAGAAAAACAAAATATCCCAAAGCTACTGAGGAAAAATCTATATTCATTGAGAAGTTATATTGCAAAGCCTTGTTTAGTCCCTAGGGATTTTGTGATAAACCTAAATGATGATCTAATGTAAATATCTGGTGTAAATAAGTCACTAGCCAAAGAATTAATCAAAACACTTGGTTCCCTGTACCTAAGTATTTGTAAACAGTTATGAACAAGAAAATTTAAAGAGAGTGTAGAAACACTGGAACCAGTAGGACATTAAAATCAGTCATTGCCAATCTACTTTGTAATAAGGTATTTAGAATAACAGGACTGGGTCTACACAGTCATAGGTAAGCAAGGTAAACAACTATATTGCTTAAGAAAGAAAATTCTACATTACTCACAGAGTTTTGGCAGTTATAGTCACTCTGAATGCCAGTAGAGATCTAAAGAAAGATTTTTTTCAGGGGTCTGAAACTTAAAACCAACTTTGTTTTCTTTGTTGTTTTAGAATTTTGTCTCATCCAGTGGAGAGGTAAAATATATCTATATTTGTTTATATTTTAAGAAATATAAATATATTTTAAGAAATATATTTTATATTATTAATTTTCTTTTTAAAATAGCATTTTCTGTCTAATAACATTAAATAATTCAGTATTATTAAGTTTTTCCATGAAAAGCTAAATAATTTCATAACATGTTATCTTTTCTTGCTGTGATGGTCTCATTTAAAAATGCATCTATAAGGATGAGCATATTTATATTCACACATATTGTAATTTTTTATTCATATTGATATCCTGCCCAATTTCACTGCCACTTCATTAGGTAAATACTTTTAAATGAAAATTATATAAATAAAGTTTTATATCATAGAAATGTATTGCTGATTAAAAAAAGGCAGTAATTTCCAACAAATATGAAAATTGGGTCTATGTTTATCAATAGTGCATGTTACTGACAGGTTAACTTGGAATACATGAAAAAAAAATAGCTCCATCAACCAGTTACCATTAAAATAAACATATGATAAGAAATATTAAATATGGCTTATTATATTTTAAATGATATTTATGTTATATAAATTTTTACTTTATTGGATTATAATTGGGCTATGCAATGAATCAAAGAATCTAGAGTCTTAATATATAAACAAATGCATACCAAATTTGCTCAGAAAACTGACAAAGTTATAATAGGAAATAAAACTTCATGTGTGTGAGACTAAGAAATGTCTTAATTTTCTATAAATTCTTACATAATGTTGTGACCTTGGAGCTCCCTGACAGTTTTACATACATGTAATAGACAAAGCTAGAGAAATTAAAGGAAAATGAGGAGGTCCTTCTACCAAAAAATAATCATGTGAAATGTAATAGTAAATGCATTAGTAATATTTAGAATTTTCTCATTTAAAACACTATCGGGAAAATTAAATATGAAAAGCCCATAGTACATATTGTGAAATGATCATCACAATTAGTTAACATCCATCACCATGTATAGTTACACTTTTTTCTCATGATGAGAACTTTTAAGATCTGCTCTCTTAGCAACTGTTAAACACACAATATGGTATTGTTAACCATAGCCAATTATATCTCAATTGGAAAAAAAAAAAAGCCAACAGTCATCATCCACATCCAGTATGCTTTCCTTCTTAATAACAATTTAAGATGCCTAGCCTTGAAGGAGTAGAAGCTTTGAGGAAGGGTGGGAGGAATTCAGAAGGACAGCTAGAAAAGGTATAACTAAGTGAATGCACCCTTGGGGGCACTTTAGAGACTCAGCGGGTCCTGAAGGCATCCAGCTAGGCGTGCTGTGCAGATAAAGAGGCTTGGAAGGACTGATCCTACACTGTGCATCTTCTTTTCTTCTATTGTTGTCCTGGCCTAGCTGGCATATTGTTTAGTTTATAACACTCCAGTTCACTGACACACAAAATATTTCCTTTTACATTGAAGTTTATTCCATTTTCTTCAGAAATGATTAGTTCTTATTTTGTAAGTGATGCAAGCACATTAGCCTTGAGAATGAGACTAAATTGGAATTCTTTAAAAAATAACCTTTACTCATTGTACATCATCACAGTCATAACATAAGTAATGTAGCGATAAGATAGAGGTAATAACTTTGACTTCTTTGCTCTCGTTTAGGATTACAGCGGCAATCCTGACAGTCCTTACCCAGTTAACCCAACTCTGAATATTCCTTATCCCATACCAGACAGTGATTTCACTCCTCCTGTCTATCCTACAAGGAATAAGTTCCCCAATTACCCTGGGAATCCTGACCGTGATGCCGGGGTACCCTCATATCCCTGGGTTCTCACTGCTCCTGGAGCCCTCCTCTACCACATTTCTAGTTTTCCCATACCTTCTTGGTTGTCCCATCATCCGCCCACTCCTTGGGCTTTCCGCCTTCTTCCTCCCTCAAAAAGACCTATGGGACCTTATTTCCCACCTGATACAGCTGCACCTACTGCAGCCGATCCATATGTACTTAAGTCTCTTGCCCCACCTACTACAAACCCACCTTCTATCCCAGAGACTGAGCCACCTGCTGTGACAGAGCCTGATGAAGCAGATATTGCAGCAGCTGCCCCAGGACCTCAGTCCTCTATTTCTCTTGACCAGGTGGGTTGCCTCAGTCTTACTTCTGTGATGCATGAGAGGTGTAGGAGCAGGAAAGAAACAGTCTCTCCACAAGCAAATATATACTGTATCAGCTGAAATATTTTGTACAGCTTTACTGAGACACAATGTCATACCAATATTGAAAGTGTATACTTTGGTAAGTTTTGACATATATATACACACCCATGAAAAAAATCACCAGGATAATGAATATATCCACCACAGCCAGAAGGTTCCTCCTGTTTTTTTTTTAATATTCCCACCCTCCCCTTTTTTCCTGTCCTTGATCTATTTTCTGTCAGTACAGATTGGTTTGCATTTTCCAGAATTTTATATAGGTAGAATCATACTGTATATACTTTTTTGTGTCTGGTTTCTTTCACTCAGCACAATTATTTTGAGATTTATCCATGTAGTTATGCATATCAATAGTTCAGTTTTTTTATGTTTTTGGAAAGTAGTATTAGATTATATGGATGTATCATAAATTTTTACCCATTTATTTGCTGATGAACATTTTAATTTCCAAACTTGATGCCATTTATTTATATCCAATTATATATTGAATACTGTACTGGCTTAAATTGCAATATTCAATAAAAAGGATTAGATGGACAGCCCTGCCTTGTTTCTGACATTAGGAGAAAGTTTTATTTTAGGATACCATTAGGTTACTGTGATTTTCACATTTAGTAAACAGGAACAGAGAAACATTTTGATCTAAGGCTAATTTTTCCCATTGCAGAGATCAAGCTATTCTGAGTGCCCTGTGAAATCTGAGCTTTTTTTACTCTGGCTTGTGTGATCAAAAACTTTTTCCTGCTCTGTGCGAGCACTAGATATTGTTCCATTTTGTCCTTTCAGGTGGTTCTTTACCTGACCTGAGGTAGTATCTTCATGTGAATAATATATACTTGGTTGAAAACCTTAGGATAACATATTTATTTATTTATTATTTAATTTATTTATATTAAAGTATAGTTGATTTACGATATATTAGTTTTAGGTATACATCATAGTGATTTGATATTTTTATAGATTATACTCCATATACACTAATATGTATAAAATAGATAACTAATAAGAAAAAAAAGTTGAAAGAAAAAAAGAGTTATTACAAAACAGTGGCTATATTTCCCTGTGCTGTACAATATATTTTTGTTGCTTTTCTATTTTATACATAGGAGTTTATATCTCCTAATCCCATACCCCTATCTTGTCCCTCCTAGCTTCCTTCTCCCCACTGATAACCACTAGTTTGTTCTCTATAATTGTAAGTCTTTTTCTGTTTTGTTATATACATTCGTTTTAATTTTTAGATCTCATATATAAGTGATAACATAGAGTATTTGTCTTTCTCTGTCTGACTTATTTCACTAAGCATAATACTCCTACATCCATTCACATTGTTGCAGATGGGAGAATTTCATTCTTGATTATGCCTGAGTAATATTCAATTGTGTGTGTGTATAGGTATATATATCACATCTTTATCCATTCATCTATTGATGGACATGTGCATTGTTTCCATATCTTGGCTATTGTAAATAATGCTGCTATGGACATAGGCTAACCTTTTTAGATCTTTGTATCTATGTCTTTGTCCCCCGTTTTCCTTCAGATTCTCTGCCCTGTGAATTTCAGCTATCTTGGTCTTCCTGGGCACCCAGGTCCATCTCCCTTCACTAAGTCCTGGAAACAATCCAGGCAGTAAGATAAGACAATCATAGGGTTCATCTCCTTTGCTTCCTGTCTCTTAGGGATTGGTGTCCTTCATAACTTGATGTTTAGATCTTGAGAAACTGTTGCTTCTCATATTTTTGTTATTTTTAAAATTTGTTTCAGGCAGTTTCTCTTACTCATATTGACCTAAAGAATAGTTCTCTGAACTTTTTTAAAACAATGATTTTTTGAAAAATATTTAGAAGCACTTTGTCCCCAAGTTTTAGTAAATGTGCCTATTTTATAAAGGGGAAAGTGGGATTCCAAAGCATTTCAAAGATACTCTGAACCCTGGGCACAGGCTGAAAACAAATGAGAGCTTAAACCCAACAGTGAATAATTTCTAAAGTATATTGTTACTAATTGAATACTCCTAGTAGTTGTTTCCTGGAAGGGGGTACCAACTTTTCTTCTTGTTCCCTTGTTCTGATAGGGATGAGAATCAAGTTAAATGGTTGCTTGGAACTGCTCCAGAGAAGTCTGAAGAGCCATCATTATTCTCCAATACTCCACACATTAACATGTTTCTTCAGTAGGTTTCTTTGACACAAAGCACTCTCCTTCTACCAGTATATACATACTTGTAGTTCTTCATGACTCACACGAAGGTAGAGAGAAATTTAAGAAAGTATGGATAAAAAGAAATTGATAAAAAAAGGCCTTGAAAACACTGCTAAATATCTTAGACTGTTTCCTGTAGCCAAAGGAATTTATAAAGGACCTTCATTGAGTAATTTGACCAGTTCTTTGTTTCCAAAAGCTAAGTCTGATGGCTTAGAGTATTCTAAATATGAGTTATGAAGAAATCACCAGGGCACAACTTCTTAAGGAATAAAGATTACCCAGAAAAGATAGGTCTAATACTAGTAAATGAAGTACATTTTATCATTTTGTTGTTTGTTTTGTTTTGTTTTTTAGGTAAAGAAATGAAATTTTCAAGAGAAAAGAGTACCATGCATTTGTTTCTGTAAGTCATACATGATCATGAGATTTTAAAATGATGAATTATATAGATGTCATCTTCTGAACCCACTTTTGAATATATTTTTACTATATGAAATTCAGAAAGTGGGGTATGGAGAGGTACTGCCAGTCTGTGCCTAAGATCTCTGAAATTAGGAACACATACCCTGTGTAAGAAACTCAGGCAACCTTTGGACAGTTCTTCCTGACATTGATCCATATGGATTATGACTTGAATATCCTAAAATAATAGAGGTCAATATAGGGAAGAAACTTCCATAGGGGGAAAGGGGTTGAGTTATGGGTGAAAGAAACCATTGTTAAAGTTCTCACAGATCATTTTCTATGTTATTTATTCAACTGCCATTCTTACCCCACACTGAGAACCACTGCTTTAGAAAACAAATAAACAAAGAGACAATTTAGATCTCAAATCTCCTGTCCCCACCTCCTCCCCTGCACCAGCCTTGCCCCCCACTTGTCATTACACACTGTCCTGGGAAGAAAGGCACTGGTCAACTAGCTCATTGGTTACACTCATTCCAAGCTCTTATTCCTTTATCCCTTTGTAAAGCTGTTCCAATTTTACTGTTATAAACATTCACTGGACAGGAAAATGGCAAGGCTTTATTTGACTGTCAGCCAAATCAGAATTTCTACTGAGGTGACATCAGTACTTAAAGTAGAATTGAAGACCAAACTTGATAGCCTTTAGTATTGTTGATGATGCCTCTTAACAGCAGCTTTGCCAAGGAAATTAAAAGGCTTAAATGTTGAGTTAAACCCTGTCTACTGCTATATTCTTTGGGTTTTTTATTTGTTTTACTCTTATATAAGATAAAAGGATATTAATTAGGGAATTAGTTCAAGATATTATGTAAATTTAACAATTTTCAATAAGTATTTGCATTTCATTCCTTATTATATTAATTACTTAATTCACAACAGATAAAGGAAAGAGTACTACTTTTCTGGAAAAGCCTCTTAAGGCAGAGAAGGAATTCTACTTCAAGTCATTCAGTATTAGGAGACTGTTGATCTGAACCCAACACTCATACACAAAAAAGTTCTGTATAATATATACATATGTGCAAATAAATCATAGCAATGAATTAACATTGCACTTTTAAATTGTTACAAGAATGCATAATATCTACAAGAAGATAGAGGAAAACAAGCTTGATTCTCTTAAATGTGCCGTTGAATTGTAGCATGAATTTGTACATGACCATTCAATATAGTCCCTTAACATTAAAATCATAAAGCAGCAAAAGAAATTCTCTATAATACAAGTCATTTGGTATGTTTTACACAAAACTAATATGTTTTTTTTTCCCTTTTCAGGAATAACTGGTGGAGAAATCAGTAAAAGCTAGAAAAATTTATTTTCCTTTCCAAAGACTACCATTCTGTTATATTAAAAATATACTTCAATAAAAAAATAAAATTTTAAAAAATCAGTCTGACCATATTGGTTGGTTTGTGATATTTTTTCATTGGACTGAATTCATAGAGAAATGAAGTTTATGGTGTATTATTTTTCCAATTCACAGTTTTAAAAGGTTACTTCCTAAATATCTACATAATAATTGTCAGAGATTTAAACATGTGATGGCAATATGCGCCTTTCTTTTGAACAAACCCCATCTAAAAAATACAACACAGAAGAGCTTCAAGATGGCGGAAGAGTTAGATACGGAGATCACCTTCCTCTCCACAAAAACATCTACACGTGGAACAACTCCTACAGAACACCTACTGAACACTGGCAGAAGATCTCAGACCTCCCCAAAGGCAAGAAACTCCTCACGTACCTGGGTAGGGCAAAAGAAAAAAAGAAAAAACACAGACAAAAGAATAGGGACAGGACCTGCACCAGTGGGAGGGAGCCATGAAGGAGGAAAGGTTTCCACACACTAGGAAGCCCCTTCATGGGCAGAGACTGTGGGTGGCGGAGGGGGAAAGCTTCGGAGCCATGGAGGAGAGCACAGCAACAAGGGTGCGGAGGGCAAAGCGGAGAGATTCCTGCACAGAGGATCGGTGCCGACCACCACTCACCAGCCCGAGAGACTTGTCAGCTCACCCGCCGGGACAGGTGGGGGCTGGGAGCTGAGGCTCAGGCTTCGGAGGTCAGATCCCAGGGAGAGGACTGGGGCTGGCTGCGTGAACACAGCCTGAAGGGGGCTAGTGTGCTACGGTTAGCCAGGAGGGAGTCCGGGGAAAAGTGTGGCGCTGCCGAAGAGGCAAGAGACTTTTTCTTGCCTCGTTGTTTCCTGGTGCGTGAGGAGAGGGGATTAAGAGCACTGCTTAAAGGAGCTCCAGAGAAGGGTGCGAGCCGCGGCTATCAGCGCGGACCCCAGAGACAGGCATGAGACGCTAAAGCTGCTGCCACAGTCACCAAGAAGCCTGTGTGTGAGCATAGGTCACTATACACACCTCCCCTCCCGGAAGCCTGTGCAGCCCGCCACTGCCAGGGTCCTGAGATCCAGGGACAACTTCCCCGGGACAATGCACGGTGCGCCTCAGGCTGGTGCAACGTCACGCCGGCCTCTGCTGCTTCAGGCTCACCCCGCATCCGTACCCCTCCCTCCCCCAGGCCAGAGTGAGCCAGAGCCCCCGAAACAGCTGCTCCTTTAACCCCATCCTGTCTGAGCGAAGAACAGACGCCCTCAGGCAACCTACACGCAGAAGCGGGTCCAGATCCAAAGCTGAACCCCAGGAGCTGTGCAAACAAAGAAGAGAAAGGGAAATCTTGCCCAGCGGCCTCAGGAGCAGCAGATTAAATCTCCACAATCAACTTGATGTACCCTGCATCTGTGGAATACCTGAATAGACAATGAATCATCCCAAATTGAGGAGGTGGGCTTTGGGAGTGACGATATATATATATTTTTCACTTTTTCTCTTTTTGTGAGTGTGTATGTATATGCTTCTGTGTGTGGTTTACTCTGTATAGCTTTGCTTTTATCATTTGTCCTAGGGTTCTGTCTGTCCGTTTTTTTTGTTTGTTTGTTTTTTAATTACTTTAAAAAAATTGTTTTCTTAATAATTATTTTTTATTTTAAAACTTTATTTTGTTTTACTTTATTTTATTTTATCATCTTTCTTTCTTTCTTTCATTCTTTCTTTCTTTCTTTTTCTCCCTTTTATTCTGAGCTGTGTGGAGGACAGGCTCTTGGTTCTCCAGCCAGGCATCAGGGCTGTGCCACTGAGATGGGAGAGCCAAGTTCAGGAAACTGGTCCACAAGAGACCTCCCAGCTCCATGTAATATCAAACGGTGAAAATCTCCCAGACATCTCCACCTCAATGCCAAGACCCTGCTCCACTCAATGACCAGCAAGCTACAATACTGGACACCCTATGCAAAACAACTAGCAAGACAGGAACACAACACCATCCATTAGCACAGAGGCTGCCTAAAATCATAATAAGGCCACAGACACCCCAAAACATACCACAAGATGTGGACTTGCCCAACAGAAAGACAAGATCCAGCCTCATCTACCAAAACACAGGCATTAGTCCCCTCTACCAGGAAGCCTACACAACCCATTGAACGAACCTTAGCCACTGGGGACAGACACCAAAAACAACAGAAACTACGAACCTGCAGCCTGTGAAAAGGAGACACCAAATACAGTAAGTGAAGCAAAATGAGAAACAGAAACACACAGCAGATGAAGGAGCAAGGCAAAAACCCACCAGACATAAAAAATAAAGAGGAAATAGGCAGTCTACCTGAAAGGGATTTCAGAATAATGATAGTAAAGATGATCCAAAATCTTGGAAATAGAATGGGGAAAATACATGAAAAGTTTAACAGGAACCTAGAAGAACTAAAGGGCAAACAAACAGTGATGAACAAAACAATAAATGAAATTAAAAATTCTCTAGAAGGGATCAATAGCAGAATAACTGAGGCAGAAGAACGGATAAGTGACCTGGAAGATAAAATAGTGGAAATAACTACTGCAGAGCAGAATAAAGAAAAAAGAATGAAAGGAATTTGAGGACAGTCTCAGAGACCTCTGGGATGACAGTCAATGCACCAACATTCGAATATAGGAGTCCCAGAAGAAGAGAAAAAGAAAGGGACTGAGAAAATATTTGAAGAGATTATAGCTGAAAACTTCCCTAATATGGGAAAGGAAATAGTTAATCAAGTCCAAGAAGCAGAGAGAGTTCCATACAGGATAGATTCAGGGAGAAACACACCAAGACACATATTAAGCAAACTATCAAAATTTAAATACAAAGAACAAATATTAAAAGCAGCAAGGAAAAAACAACAAGTAACACATAAGGGAATCCCCATAAGGTTAACAGCTGATCTTTCAGCAGAAACTCTGCAAGCCAGAATGGAGTGTCAGGACATATTTAAAGTGATGAAGGAGAAAAACCTACAACCAAGATTACTCTACCCAGCAAAGATCTCATTCAGATTTGACAGAGAGATTAAAAGCTTTACATGCAAGCAAAAGCTAAGAGAATTCAGCACCACAAAACCAGCTTTACAACAAATGCTAAAGGAAGTTCTCTAGGCAGGAAACACAAGAGAAGGAAAAGACCTACAATAATAGCCCCAAAACAATTAAGAAAATGGTAATAGGAACATATATATCGATAATTACCTTAAATGTAAATGGATTAAATGCTCCAACCAAAAGACATAGACTGGTTGAATGGATACAAAAACAAGACCCGTATATATGCTGTCTACAAGAGACCCACTTCAGACCTAGGGACACATACAGACTGAAAGTGAGGGGATGGAAAAAGATATACCATGCAAATGAAAATCAAAAGATGGCTGGAGTAGCAATTCTCTTATCAGAAAAAATACACTTTAAAACAAAGACTATTACAAGAGACAAACAAGGACACTATATAATGATCAAGGGATCAATCCAAGAAGAAGATATAACAATTGTAAATATTCATGCACCCAATATAGCAGCACCTCAATATATAAGGCAAATACTAACAGCCATAAAAGGGGAAATCAACAGTAACACAATCATAGTAGGGGACTTTAACACCACACTTTCACCAATGCACAGATCATCCAAAATGAAAATAAATAAGGAAACACAAGCTTTAATGATACATTAAACAATATGGACTTAATTGATATTTATAGAACATTCCATCCATAAACAACAGAATACACATCCTTCCAAAGTGCTCATGGAATATTCTCCAGGATAGATCATATCTTGGGTCACAAATCAAGCCTTGGTAAATTTAAGAAAATTGAAATTATATCAAGTATCCTTTCAAACACAATGCTATGAGACTAGATTTCAATTACAGGAACAAATTAGTAAGAAATACAAACACATGGAAGCTAAACAACACACTACTTAATAACCAAGAGATCACTGAAGAAATCAAAGAGGAAATCAAAAAATACCTAGAAACAAATGACAATGAAAACACAACGACCCAAAACCTATGGGATGCAGCAAAAGCAGTTCTAAGAAGGTCGTTTATAGCAATACAATCCTACCTCAAGAAACAAGAAACATCTCAAATAAACAACCTAACCTTACACCTAAAGCAAGTAGAGAAAGAAGAACAAAAATACCAAGAGTTAGCAGAAGGAAAGAAGTCATAAAACTCAGATCAGAAATAAATGAAAAATAAATGAATGAAATGATAGCAAAGATCAATAAAACCGAAAGCTGGTTCTTTGAGAAGATAAACTCAATTGATAAACCATTAGCCAGACTCATCAAGAAAAAATGGGAGAAGATTAAAATCAGCAGAATTAGAAATGAAAAAGGAAAAGTACCAAATGACACTGCAGAAATACAAAGGATCATGAGAAATTACTACAAGCAACTGTATGCCAATAAAATGGACAACCTGGAAGAAATGGACAAATTCTTAGAAAAACACATCTTCTGAGACTGAACTGGAAAGAAATAGAAAATATAAACAGACCAATCACAAGCACTGAACTTGAAACAGTGATTTAAAATCTTCCAACAAACAAATAGGTGAATTCTATCAAACATTTAGAGAAGAGCTAACACTTATCCTTCTCAAACTCTTCTCAATGGTGAAAACCTGAAACCATTTCTTCGAAGATCAGGAACAAGACAAGTTTGTCCGCTCACACCACTATTATTCAACATAGTTTTGGAAGTTTTAGCCACAGCAATCAGAGAAGAAAAAGAAATAAAAGGAATCCAAACCAGAAAAGAAGTAAATCGGTCACTGTTTGCAGATGACATGATACTATACATAGAGAATCGTAAAGATGCTACCAGAAAACTACTAGAGCTAATCAGTGAATTTGGTATAGTAGTAGGATACAAAATTAATGCACAGAAATTTCTTGTAT